AGCAATAATGCTGTAAGAAACAGATCTACCATACCAGATTTCATATTCTATTACAGAGCCATAGTAATATAAATAGTGTGGGACCAACAAAATCAGATATGTTAATCAATGAAACAAAAAATAAGATAGAAAAATGACTACATGTAACAACAACTATCTGATATTTGACAAAGACATCAAAAATATACACTGGGTGGGGGGAACAGCATCTTTAACAATGATGCTAAGTAAGTTAGATGTCCACATGTAAAAGATTTAAATAAGGCCTGATCTATCAGCCTGTACAAAAATCAACTGCAACTGGATAAAAACCTCAATGTGATACCTAAAATGCTGAAACTGCTCGAAGAAAACATAGGCAGTACCTGGAGAATACAGGTACAGAAAAAGGACTTCCTGAATAGCCTTCTACTTGCACAGGAATTAGGGCTAACAATGGACAAGTGGATCCTCTTTTATGTGTGGGTGCACAGTTGTGAGCCTGTTTACCTTGACTGGAGGTCAGAGAGTTTGAGCTTATTTTTGTTCTCTCAAAGTTGTCGACAAAAGATGTGGCTACAAACAAGAGATCCTGATTTAAGGTGTGATTAATTAGTAATTTAGGTGCAGAGGTGGATGTGTTCCACCAGGACCAAAGGTTGGAGATTTCAAGTCTATACCTTATATCATATTAATGAAGTCTGTTGCCTCCCCCTGCCCTTTTGGAGTGAAATATATAAGTGTATGGAAAATAAATGAGGCAGAATGCTGTTCTGTGTCTCTGTCTCTTATTTCTCCTATGTCTCTGTTCCTTTTGTCTAATAATTCTAATCCTTATGCTCCTATGCTCAAATGTAGAAGTTTTGAAGAAGCTGGTTTTGAACACTATTTGAACTAAAAAGCTTCTATACATCAAAGAAAATAAATGATCAAGTGCAAAGGAAGCCCAAAGACTGAGAGAAGTTTTACCACCTACATATCTGACAGAGTATTTATACATACATACATACATACATACATACATACACACCTGTATTTGTGTGTGTGTGTGTGTGTGTATATATATATATATATGCAAGTTAAGAACACAACATTCTCATTACAAAAATCAACTGTGAGTTTGAACAGAAGATTCTCAGAAGAATAAATAAAAAAATGGCTAAGAGATATCTTAAAATTAAATTCAACATCCTTAGCAATTAGGAATATGTGAATCAAAAGTAGGTCTATCACATGACCCAATTATACCACTCGTTGGCATATGTCCAATTATATCCAAGGGACTTCACATCCTACTCCTTAGATACTTGCTCAGTCATGTTCATTGCTGCAGAGAGCCGGGAATGAAAACAAAACAAACTTCTTTCAGCTGATAAATGATAAGTGAAAAATGTGTATATTTACAACACAATTCTATTCAGCTGTAAAGAAAAATAAACAGTGAAATTTGTAGGTAAATAGACGGAATTAGAAAGTATTAATTATACTGTGTTGGGTAATTCAGATCCAGAAAAACAAATGCTATGTGTTCACACTTCCTTATAGATCCTGGCTCTGTATCCTTCTACATACACCCTGGAATAAGAACAGATCCTAGGTATGTAATAAAGGGCCATCACGGCAAGAAAGACATGGGGACAGTAGGACACAGTGCTATTATGAATGAAATAGAAAAAAATGGGGAGGGGAGTAAATTGGGGAGACAAAAGGAGGACATACATACATGTATATATATAATTATTTGATATATTTGTATGCCCTCCTTTTGTTTCCCCACTTTATACACACACACATGTATGCATGTGTGTGTGTGTGTGTGTGTGTGTGTATGAGAGAAAAAGAGAGAGAGAATTAGCTGATATCACTTAGAGTGATAATGTCTTCCACCAAGAGCTATAGACAATCTATCAAAACCTCCAGTGCCAGGCATGAGAAACCTCCCTTCAAGTTGATGGTCTGGGGAAATGAATAGACTCCCCAAATAATATAGATAATTGTCAATGTCCTTGAATGCCTTCTAAAACTTGAAAGTAAGACCAGCCCAATTTTTGAAGACTCTACACGCTTTAGACACAGGTTGGGAAGAGTCAAGCTGAACCTGAACTGGAAATCTTCTCTGAGGACTCTCAAAGTATTTGAAGGTGCTATGCAAGCTTTCAAGGGAGAAAAGCAGTAGCCCTAACGAACTGTCATGGATGTGAACTACAGAAATGAGCAGCCAGGCCAGATGTTTCCAATAGTACAGTAGTGGCATTTACGTCTTGGGGGCAACCAGCAATTGTCTAACTAAACTTAAAGCCACTGAAAATGAGGAAATTTATACCTAGTATTTTAAACCTGGCCAAGAGGCTGTATATGGTGGCATCATGGATCATAAAGGAGAATCTACTGCTGGCACTTTCCTAAACCAATGTATCTTCTAACTCCATTCTGAATACTAAATATTTACCCTCAGAAAGTGTATCTCTCACCCTTCATCAGAGAATCTTCTTTTTGTAGAAGATAGAGAACATTACAGAAATTTACAATTGGTCAAAATATAGAAAGCGAGTGACTGTAGAATGCCCAATGCTGATTGATACACCTACAGCAATCCCTACCATTAGGACTCAGGGAACATTGGGGAAGAGGGAGTGGAACGATTTAAGAGCCAGAAAACCTGAATGGTTGCTGGGCAATATCATCTATATATCACAGGGAAACTACGCCCATGAAGTGTCAATATCATGGTTTCTTAAAGACAACCCTATATAACAGCAATTCCAGATGACATCCAGCCTGGATGGAAGAAATCTCAAAAGTCCCTATCCCTAGATGCAATTTATGGATGCTGAAAAAGGGAGAATCTGCCCCCATGTGGTTATCCAATCAGAAGTGGTATGCCCTACACACACACATGAGCAACACAAAATGGACTCAGCAGACTGTATTTGTATATGTATAAAGAAATACATACATTATAAATATAAAAAAAGAACATGAATTTGAAAGGAACTGGAAAAGATACAGGAGGGCTTGGAGTTAGAAGGAGGTATAGAAATGATGTAACATAAGATTCTTGTATAAAATTCTTAAAAATGCAAAATAAATTTTTAAAAATTCAACATAAAAATAATATGCAAAAAAGAGCCTGTTTTTTCAAAGCTTGGCCAAATATTTCCTATTTAAAGGAACAAGAAATTTTGATTGCCTACTCTAAACCTCAATCTTGGAAAAAGAACTTGTTTGCAGTTTATTTTTATGTTAATAACTACAACACAGTTGTATGCATTCACTGCTCTAAACTTGACACGGCTGGAATGAAAACATGGCAACAATAAATCCATCCAGAATAAAGCTGAACAACTTGCTACAAGGCAAGAGGACAAACAAGAACATAAAACTGAGGAGCTATTCTAAGACTAGCAGAAACTCCAAAACCATTGTTTTGATATTATTTGTAGAATGTTCTTATAAGTGAACACTGCACAGACCTATCCTAATCCATGTCAGAAAGCAGAAAACGCCAACTTTAGGCCATTAAGAATATGGGTGGCCTCGCATGAGACACCTACCTATACAAAGGCCTTTCCTATGACTTCTGTAATGTTATTTCCATATAGTTCACAACATATCTGTCTAGAAATATTATACAAAAATCTAAATATTTGATAATAAAACATTAGTAAGGCTTGAATTAATCTCCAATAAACTTAAAGATACCCCCCACTAATAGGTGATATAAGTTTCTTGCTGCCAAAGCAATTATTTTACAAGGCACACAGTGCCCATCAATCATTAGCACTGTATGAAACAACCCTGTGACACAACACTCTGTAATACAAAAGTGACCGATGACAAGCCACATGGTAATTATGTCCCCAAACATTCATTAGATAAAGCATTGCTAATGGGAAAGAAATCAGCAAGCTTGGTGTGTGGGAGAATAAAACAAACCTCACATCCCTTCCATTTAAATGAAAAGAGAAAAAATTATCCATAATTGAAGGCTACAGCAATCAAAAAGTTGAATAACTAAAACACAGGAAGAGGTATAGGAAGGAAACCCATTTTTGTGCTTCATTTAGTAATTGTTTCAATATTCTTACTTGTGTAATGCCTGTAAGGTACCATATGACCTGTATATAATAAGCCTTAAATAAACAAAGTTTACAAATATACTTTAATACTTACTTACACATTTACCCTAATATTTAAACAAAAAAATATAATTGAATAATGCAAGGCATAAAACATATGTAAAATCTAAAACTTTATTGGATAGTTCTCCAAATCAAATCATTACAGACGAAACTATAAAACTCCATGCTTGAAATATGATCACTACGGGAAGCTGAAATGTTATCAGGCTACCAGGGAGTACAGAAAGAAGTCTTGCATCATGTTTTGTCATACTAAGTTACACTACTTAGAGGATGAAATGAAGACTGCACAGAATGTGTGCTAAGTGTGTAATGTGAGTAAACAGGAAACAAGAGCTCTCATTTACAGACACTGTCATCAGCTTAGGTTTTTTTCCAACTAGTAGTGTATACTTAAAGCTGTCTTCTCCAATTATTGCCTGTATATTTATATATGCATGTATGCATGCACGTACATATAAATACAGTCTGCTGAGTCCATCAGTCAACAAAGGTCCACACAGAACCACTACCACGGTTTTAGCCCTACACATCCTCTAATTTTAAACAAGAGCTAGCATGTGGGTACACTCACTGCCTAGTGCCAGCATCGCAATCCAACTCCCTCATGCTACCCTGCCAGAAGCAGTCAGCAGCTGATAGTTCTCACTGAGAAATTTACATCTCACAGAGCTAACATAAGGAGTACTGTACACATTATCCTTGAAATCCCTTTGTTTTCCTATAATAGAAAGGTTTCACATTTGCTGTGTAAATGACAGATAAAACACTTTAAGCTTGAATTCATTCTGATTGTGCTGGATTTGTATCATTCAATAGTGAAACAGAATTTCATGATAGACATTATTTAACTTGAAACATGTTTGCTGTCAAAATTACCTGTTGCAGTCCAGGCTGAATGGCCATCGGTCAGAGTAATAACAAAACCAGATCCTACCGTTCCCTCCCAAGACACTTGCAGAAAATAAGTTATGTTGGGCTCTGAAGCAAGACAGATTCTGCTCACTTTCCTTTCCATTTCTGGCTACCTGTAATGAAAAAACAAAATCTATATTCAAAAGGAGTCTACAATTATCAAATGATAAAAACATTTATACTTTTCTTTCGGCTATAAAAACTTCAAAGAAATAAAAGTAAAATGTTGTATGCAAGAGCCAACCACTGAGCTCAGCAAATCAGTTTTGTTCAACAGTGACTAGCAGATTTGACAGACAAGAAGACGGAAGGCTAAAGAAAATTACTATAGCAACATGTGTAAATTTTATATTTCTCTTTTCTCAAGAGTAAATAGCCTCTTCTCTTACAAAAGGAACAGTTTCTCTGAATAAACACAGTTGAGAGCTTTATCCATACTACCGTCTACAGTTATAGATCATTCAGAACATTAACCAATCATACTGATTTAATTTATTCTTCTGTTTTCCTAGTGACAGTCTTTACATCAACCAGTCAACACACTTCTGAGATCAAATCATCTTATTATTAACCACTTCAGTTGTTTTGCTTTGGGGTATTTAGTTAGGTTCTTTATGTATTCTATCTATTAATCCTCTATCAAATGTACAGCTCTCAAAGATTTTTCCCTAATCTGTGTGTTGTGACCACTATGGAAGTCAACTGGCCTTTTCATAGGAGTCACATATCAAATATCCTACATATCAGATACTTACATTATAATTCATAACATACAGCTATGAAGTAGCAATGAAAATTACGTTATGGCTGCGGTCACCACAACATGAAGAACTGTAATAAAGAGTCTCAGCATTCAGAAGGCTCTATATTCAGTGTTGCTCTACAGAAGCATTTCATTCACTGCCCCTCACTGGTCAGTTCTCAGGACTATTTCCTCAGTTACTGGAGTCACTTTCAGAAGTCCTCACCTCTAGTTATATCTTGAAGTCTTTCCCTATTTTCCCCTAACATTTTTAGGGTTCCAGGCCTTACATTAAAATCTTTGATCCATTTTAATTGAGCTTGAAGGACGCTGACAGACATGAATTGAGTTTGAAGGAGCCTGACAGACATGAATTGAGTTTGAAGGAGGCTGACAGACATGAGTTTAGTTTCACTCTTCTACATTTAGAAGTCTCAACCTAAGCTTTGTGCAAGGCATAGTTGCTCATGCACTCGAGAAGCAGATGCAGACAGATCTCTGTGAGTTTGAGTGAGTTCCAGGACAGCCAGGACAGTTACAGAGAAACCCTGTCTTGAAAAGCGATGGGGCTGGGGAGGGGGGGAGGAAGGAAGGAAGGAAGGAATCAATCCAGTTTTCCATCACCATTTGATGAAGATCCTGTCTTTTCTCCAGTGAGTGTTTCTTTTTTTTTTTTAATATTTATTTATTTATTTATTAAGTATACAATATTCTGTCTGTGTGTATGTCTGCAGGCCAGAAGAGGGCACCAGACCTCTTTACAGATGGTTGTGAGCCACCATGTGGTTGCCGGGAATTGAACTCAGGACCTTTGGAAGAGCAGGCAATGCTCTTAACCACTGAGCCATCTCTCCAGCCCCTCCAGTGAGTGTTTCTTGTACCTGTGTGAAAAATCAGGTGACTATATCTGTGTGAAAGTTCTGAATCCTGTATTTTATTCAATTGAACTTTCATATGAATTTAATGTTTTCTCGGTTTCTGTGAAAAAATGTTATTGTGATTTTTCTAGGGAATAATGAATCTGTGGGTCACTTTTCTGCTTCTTTATGAATGTGAAAATCTTTCCATTTTGTAATGTCTCCTTCAATTATTTTCTTCGGTGATTAGTTTCCCTAAGAGCGCAGGTGTGTCTGAGCCCGAGTGTCAGGAAGCCCTACTGTCCTCAGAGTTGGACATATGCTGAGAATGTGCCTGAGGATGATCTTAACGTGATCAGCTCTCTCTGCCTCCACCTCCCAAGTTCTGAGATCACACATATGACACCACTCCAGTATTTTTTGTTGCTGGGGAAGGAAGTCAGTGGTACTTGGGCATTTACAGGCACTCCGCTGAATGAACTATATCTCTGACTCATGTGGATTCAAACCTGTATTTGGGAGATGGGGAGAAAGTTTAGTTGATAAAGTTCTTGTCACACAAACATGGTAGAAACTGGCAGATTTCAGCAGTTCACTGACCAGCCAGTTTTGTCTAATGGGCAAGACTCTGTTGGGAGCTCACCAACTCCAACTGGACTGGGAGTGAATGAGCATGGGAACAACCAAGCCCTTCTGAAGGGGGTTGACAGCTGGAGCAGACTGAGGGGCCATAAATAGTGACACTGGGTGTGTCTCTACTGCATGTACCTGCTTCACAGGATTCTATTCTCTTTGGATGTAAACCTTGCTCATCCTAGACGTAGTAGGGAGGGCCTTATACTTTCCACAGGGCAGGGTGCATAGCCCCTTAGGGTTGGAGGGGTGGGGGGAGGGTCTGTGGAGGGAGAGAGAGGGGAGGGAGTAGGAATTTGGATTGATAGTTTTTTAAGTAATAATAAAAAAGAAAGAAAGAAAAAAGACTCTGTTTTCAATAAGAACAGGAATAACTGGCCTCACGCCTTCAGATACATGCAGAGATATGTGCACATGCACACATGTCAATATACACATACAAAAAACAAAGACACTTTAATTTGGGATATGAGGTAGGGTACAAAAACTCCTTTAAAATGCCATACTGTGCTTCTATAGACCTACATAAACACAGGGACACAAGCACATGCCTACACGCACGCACAATTATTTCTTTTCCCAGATGCCTGGAGAACCATGATTACTGTTAGCATTATCTTTGTGGAAGCAAAATCCAGCAGCTGACATCACTATAAAACAGGCTGCTTCACCACTTTTTAAATTCCATATTTAGAATTGCTAACAAATTCCTAAATATAGAGACAAATTCATTTAAAATTCAATATTCCAGATGCCTGTCAGTCACTCATTTCACAGTAAAATAAAGGGTTTTAAGCTCAATAACACTAAAAAGACAGGTAAGAATCCGATCCATTCTAAAAATATTAGAAATATATTGTTTTAATTAAGTCTTAAGGTTTTGATAATATACATTTGAACTAGTTTCTTGAATACTTTATTCATTTACTGAGACTACCCTCTCATAAAATATCAAATACAAAACATCCAAGAATCAAGCACAGGAACAAATGAGCCCTAAATTCTTTTAAGAGACAGCTAGTGCAAATCAACCATACTTTTGGTCCTACCAGCCTTGTACACAGAAATAGGCTTCATGGAAAAAATGGGTGGAATCCTCTTCAGAGAGGCTGACTGACTAGGACTGTAAGAGAGCCCAGGTTTTGTTTCGTAAGAGTACTAAAGGACACATTAGTATCAGCACCTCTCTCAGCCAAAGCCAGGGATCTAAGAGGAGCCTGCAGGTGGAACCACTTGGGTTCCACCCCAATTTGTACATCAGTAGCTTTATTGAGAGCTCAGAACAGTTGAGAATTGAGAAGCTTATCTTTAGTACTTTGTGCCTTTGCTACATGGCCTCTCTCTTAGAAGACTAATACGTTGTTGGCTGGTGCGCAATTGATGTGATCTTGGTCTGAACAAATAGCATTCACAGTTGCTTCTGAATAAACAAGACACTTTTTAAATTAGTTTACAAAGCATTTTGTATGCCCTTTTGGATGCTGATAAGGAGCAGTGCAGAAGCCAGCGCTTAGGTCAGCTCAAGTTGGTTACAACACTATCATTGAGAACACCATTTTGAACTTGGGCTTCTTTTCTTGCTCTTAATAGTCACTTATGGCTCCTCTTCAAGCTGCTTGGACTGCAGGTGTTCAAATTCCGCAGCTCTGCCAAGCAGTTGAACTTACAGACTGGGAAGGGATAAATGCAGTTTCTAATGAAGCAATTACTTATGTGGCCCCTTGTCAAGAAAACTAGGCTAATACCTAAAGGGAATTCGGCATAAAATATATAGAACCAGCTGTTAGTAGTCTATAATTGGATTCTTGCTATTATTTTGTTAGACTTTACTTTTTAAAAAAGGAAAAGAAAATGTAATTGCAAACCAAAATCATGATTATGGGTTTATTTGAAAGACTTGTCACATTTTTAAAAGTTCAAAAACAGGGACATACAGAATTTTTTAAACAGAAAAGCAGACTTACATAACAACTATTATGCTATAAGTACCTTTGTGTCCATGTACACATAAGCAGAAGCCACAGCGTGCCTTGGGGTGTCTTCCTTTATGGCTCCCTGCTTTATTGCCTGACATAAGATCTCTCACTAAAGCAGAAGCTGATGTTTTATGCTGAACTTATGCCAAAGAATATTTAGGGTCTGCCTGTCTCTACCCCACAATGCTTGGATTACAGGGATATTCAGCTATTATTGTGGGTGCTATATCTGAACACGGGTCTTCATGCTGAGTCCAAGTGCTCTTACTAACTGGACTATCTTCCCAAACCCTATATTTACTTTTGCATGTGGGGGTGTCTTTCTGTTTGTTTATTTGGTTAGTTGGTTGGTTTGTGATCTGCATAGGGATGAAAAATATGAATGTGTGGATTATTGATATACGAATATTAAGTTAAAGTCTTGGTATCATCAAAAGGAGATAAAGAAAGGAAAGGAGCATAAAATAATGATCAATAGAGCACTTTAACAATGAATGTTTAGGAAGAACAAAAGGATCTAGCAGTGCAAGCCTAGGAGAAACCAAGGAAGCAGGAAGAAAGGCATGTGACTTGAATGTGAATTAAAGCGTGCAAAGAGAAGCATGTGACAATGGTCCAGAAACAAACCTAATAAGTAAAGGAAAAAACCTTCATGGGTGAGGAAGTGATCAAAGGATAAACCAAATATGACCATGCCTGAGGATCATCAACATCTGGAGATCACTGGTAACATTAAGAAGAGAATCTTGGTGCGGTATGGGAGCAGGAGTTGTTTTGGAGAAAACTCATAAAAACATCAAACACTAGAAACTGGGATAAAAGAGAGAACTACACAGAAATGTTATTGCTGGGGAAAGTAAATAAATGAGGTTAAAATGTAAAAAGATTAATAATATCTTTTTTTATTAATACAATATTTAGATATTTTTTTGTCTGTCAAACCCTTAGCCAAGCACATTGTCCAGACTTCCTGAGGAGGTACAGGAAAAGGAATATACACAGCAGAATGGCCATGAAAGAACTATGGGAGGTGGAAGTGGAGACAGCTACTTCACATGGCAAAGGAAATGAGAAAGATGTCCATTAGGCAAAAGAGCCCCATGGCCTCTCAGAGGGCAAAGCTCAGAACTACACAGAAAATCTGTTGCTTGAGAGAAGGGTTCCTGGCATAACCAGTGATGAGGATTCCAAAAACAGTCCCAATCCCAGCCCCAGAGCCAGCCACCCCAAGGAATAGCTCCAGCCCCAATGAACTTGGCAGCTGTGTCAATATCCCTTGAAATGATGCTGGTGTGGAAGCTGCAGCTAGGGATGAATAAATAGGGTCAGGGGACTGGGACTGCCAAGCTGCTGAGGCCCCATCTGTCAATGTCTGTTGTCAGTTCAATTCCACTGCACACATCTGACTATTCAGCAGCTGTGCGGTGCTCCCAGAAGCAGGTAGAGAAGGACTTGAAGGAGGCATACAGCTTTAGAGGTAAGGGGCTAAGGCAGGCAAGCGGCTCCCAGGGTAGAGAAGACACCTAGAATCATTTCTTAAGATGAAAGAAAAAAAACATGTCAAACAAAATTAGCCTCCCATAATCTAGAAGTCATGGGGGAAGAGAATGAAACACATAGAGACCAGGAAGGCAGCAATCAAAGTCAAAGGAACTTAACTTCAGTTTATGTATTTGGTTAAGAATCAGAAAAAGCAAGCACAAAAATAAATGAAGGAATAGATGGATTGAATTATAGATAAAAATAAAACCCAGTAATATATTTGAGTAGCAATAAATAAGTAATTAAAGTAAAAAGAAACCACAAATACTATCAATAACAGAAATCAAGAAAAAAGAGAAATGCAGTGGTCTGGGAGTACTGAAATAAAATTAATTAATTTTAAACCTTTTATTGGGTGAATATAAAACTGAATCATTTTTTCATCATTACCCTCCACCAGAGAAGGAGAATGTAATGTACACCATAACACTTACTGTTACTGTGCACCAAAGACTTGGGTAAATTACTTACTCGTACTTACTCATTTAATCCTCACAACAGTGAAGAAAGCTAAACACACTCCTGCAGAAAACTATAAATACATCATTTCATATACAACCCTATGGATGACATGAAAGCTGAAAATCCTCCTCCAGATGCAGAGAAGACAATAATGTCTGTATAACGAATGGCACAGTCAAGTTTCAGTGTTAGGAGGAAAATGACCCAAATGATTCTTAAATGAGAAATTCACAGTAGAGATACCAGCAGGAATTAAAAAAAAAAAAGCAAAATAACGATTACAGAAGGAAGAAAGGAATTGTTCACTTACAATCAAAATCAAAATCAGGGTCTCTGTGTGCCTGATCACCTTACAGGTTCCCCACAGATCTAAGTATGTAAGATTCATTTTGCTATTTTACATGAATACAATAAATACCATACATACATGTTCAGCTTTATCTCCCCATAGTATGTGCTTCTATGAATAACTTAAAATTGACAAATCTATTTGTTACTACTTTGAAGTTAAGAGATGGCCTAAAGTAAAAAAAAAAAAAAAAAAACCTATGGCCTAAATTTTTCATAAATACAACAAACCCGTTACTATCTTGAACTTTAGCTTACTGTGCTCCTTACTAGAGCCTGAAGCATAGCCTCCTACAGAAATAGCAATCTCAGGTGTCAAAAGGTAGCACTCAGCAGTTTTTACATGAATAAGTCATTTATAACATCTACCAACGCTTTTCACTGCTACAGAAGCTAAACGTAGCGAGCTCAGAACATATTTTCTACAACTACATTTGGAACGTTCATATTTATTCAACTTGAGTAGTAAGGTATAACACACAGGAATTTTGAAATGATTAAATACCATGTGGAAGGTACTGTACACTGTATCATTCTTATTGTCCTCTTCTCTATTCCCCATTAACTTCCTCTGCTGCAGTCTCGACACTAATAATGAAGAGCCTTAATTTGAATATTTGATGAACTTTTAGCAACTGAATAGAGTTGATTTTTAAAATCTAATTATAATTTCAAGTAAAATCTTAGGTGCCATACAGTATCATACACAATCACATAGAGCACTAAGTAAAAATACTGTGTTGCCCTAAGTATTGGATTCTCATGATTCAGCTGAATAGAGCTCATATCAATATATCAAATCAGTTTCCTTTCATTCATGCTCTCTACATATCTTCTAGGCCAATAAATTAAAGAATAGCAACATTTTGAATAAAAAGGAAAAACATACTGCCTAAGAAAAAAGTATTTGGATACACAAGGTTTCCCTAATTTTGATACACTTGGAAGCGTGAAAAAAAAAAAAATTCCCGACTTCAGAATCATTGAATCATTCGAAGAACGATATATATATATATATATATATATATATATATATAATTGAACACATCAAGTTACACCTTGCCTATATTTATAAAATTCGTAAGAAAAACTAGAGGTAAAGTAGTGCCTCACCTAGTGGTACTAAACTAGCCAATTACTCCACCTAAGAAATGGGCGGTTCCTTTCCAGTAGCGACCACAGCTCTTGCCCTCCCTTCAGGGCCTACAAAGTCTGAGTCCCCGGATGTAGACCTGGAAAAAGGGAGGGGGCAGTGAATCCACAAGCTAAACACAGTCCTCGGAATACAAGTATATGTCAAGCAGTAACACAGCATATTCCAACGAGCCTCTCACTCTTGCAAATCAAAAGGCATAAAAAGAGAAACTTAAGGGGGACCTCAAAAGGTGACACCTTAGGAAAGCCTGACATCCCCTAAGATCAACAAACACAGGGTCACAAACAGGGTCAAAAGCCGCACACTGAGCAGCTTTGGAGGCAAATGTCAGAAAACTACAGGAGGCTGAAATGGGAAGAAACAGAAGGAGAGCGCAACTATTCCTTATGTAGAAAGACCGCAGACACTTCCGGGCCCTACCTCTCAGTGACTCCACTTCCGGTCTCCTCCGAAGAAAATGTGGACACTCAGGATAACACGGGGCGGCCAATGAGAGAGTCCGCTAATTCCGCGGTGTGCGAGGCGTCGCCCAAGCCCCGCCTTTTCCGGTAACCGAAGCCTATCACAGAGTCGGGATGGCGCAGGCTGGGCGGAGGCCCCGCGATAGGCCCAACCGGGCGGCCGGAGAGAGCGGGAAGCGCAGCGGGCGGGTGTCCTCTTCCGCCCCGGCCCGGAAGGGTGATGTGGCTGGACCAGCACCGGCCTCACTATGGTAAGAACCTGGGCTGCAGGGTCGCGGTTGGGCTTCATGGAGGGCCTCCGGGGATGGTGCGGGTGCTGTGGAGCGCGGGAGCCCGGGCGGGAGCCAGGTTCTCCGGGACCCTGCGGTGCACAGGCCGAGTAGTCAAGCGGCTCGGAGGCTCGTCCCGGAGCATCAGGCCGAGAGCCTTAGGGAGAGCGCGGGTGGTGGTGGGCTCGGCCCCTCGCGAAGAGGCCGCCTTGCTGAGCTGTTTAGTACAGTTTTGGTGGCATGTTCGGCCGGTCGGTTACATATATCTGTGGACATCCACTCTCAAACGCTAGTTTCAGTTTCCTTTTCCCCTTCCTTTTATGTGCTCCGTGTATCACCCAGCCCGCATCTTACAGTGATAATTAAAAGATTGCTGCTTTTCCTTAACTCTAGGTCCTACACCTTCTGTTCTACCTGTTGAATCCAAAGCTCTGAGATAAGGCCTCTTCCACAGCATTCTTTCCATTGTAATGGTGCTTCTTTGCAAACGGATGTTTTAAGGATTCAAGTTCCCTGCAAAGTTGGATCTGTCTTGTAGGAGCTTAGTGTGCTTCCTCGTAGTAATGTCTGGCCGGGGTCTTCCTCGCAAACCTCCGCCCTCCCTGAAATTTCATGTTAGTGTTAATGATTGTTGAATAGCTTAGACCTCAGGGAAGCTTTCAGTGCAAATCAGAAAATAGCAACCACAACAAAATTCAAGGCAAGGAACCCTGCACCACCACTTAGGTGAATTTAGAAACCATTTGTAAGCATATTCCTAGTGAAAGAATGTATTTTTTATCATCTGAAAAGCAGCCATGAGCCCACCCCCCACCGGGATTCCATGGTGAAGAGAAGCTGAGTTTGAGTTCCCAGGAGTTACTCCGACATCATCTACAGTACACTGCCTTTAGAACAGTGGGCAAAAGCTCGGTTGGTCTTTCCTGCCCTCGTGACAGTTTGTCAAGGTTTGGGCATAAATTGGAGTTTCTTTCCTAAGCAAGATTAGCACCTGGGAAAGGAGGGAGCATTGACTAGCACATTTTTGTTATCCGGGTTAATGTTTTAGTGTCCATCGCAGCCTGTTTTGCTGCCTACCACACAGTAACATACACTTAGCCAGAAGGATGTTGTTAATACGGTGGTACTAAACTTAGAAGAATGCTCTCTTCCTCTCTACCAAGAAACTGAAGTAGAGTAACTTTGCTCATAGAACACACAAAGATCGTTTAAGACTGATAGTGTTTTAACTTTTTCAAAAAACAAAAAAAAGCTTTTGTTTATTAGTGCTCTTTGTGTATCAGGTTTTGTTTTAAAGAGTTCCTAAGCCTTGTCTTGCTGTAAACTCCCACTTCTGAGATATTTAGAGGTAAAGGAGCTGAAAAGTAGGGTGACCGAGTTGCCTCGGCTCTCAAACCTAGTAAGTAAAGCCAGGCCTTGGGTTTATCTTAATGTCTCCCTACAGAATGGTAACAAGAAAAATGTCACCTGTGTTTAGTGTAGATGAGCAAGTTTCTTGTCCAGTTTTCTTTTTTCAATCCATGATTTGTTGACTCCATGGAGGCATAACCCACATTGAAGGGTGAATGGTACATGTTCTTATATGTGTACAATGGCTATGGAAGGATACGTGATAACATTATTGAGCTATGGGACCTTTTTTTTTAATCTACAAGTTTTACTTTTTTAAGTGTTATAAGAAAATATAATTGTATGCAATGTTTTATTAGAGATATTACTGGACATAAATATTTTAACACACAAAAAGGATTAAGTATATTGCCCACCCAAGATCATCTTGATTTAATATATTATATAATATTATTATTATATAATATTATATACTATATATCAATGTCATATATATGACATTGAAGGTAAGGCTTAAACATTGTAGCTCCTTTAATCACCGTATATCTGGTCCTTTCTGGTCCTTTCCACTGGTCAAAGATGTCATTAATCGCACAGGAAATCCAAGAGGTAAAGGCAGGTTTGTGACAAACATTTAGGTGATAATTCTTGTTGTATTGACAATAAAAAGGACAGGAGAAAAACATGTATCTTTAGTGTTACAAAAATAAATTCGATCTTATGAAAATGTTCCATTAATTTAACTCTGAAAGCCATTGCACACGGTGTATAAAGTGTAATGGAGGTGCAGTGATCTTCTCTCAGAGTACTTAACTGCTAATAAATACTTTTGAGTTCCCAGAGATTGTAGCTTCTTTAAGTCTAAATTTGGGGAGTTGCTGTATTTAATGCTTTGAGCAGTTCTAGAGAGGGGCCAGTGACACATGGCCAGCGTTCAGCTTTTCTCCTTTACCAAACAGCCTGTATTTGATTGTCTTTTCTTGATTGCAAAATACATTTTTTTCATAGTAGTATTTGCTTTTTACCCTTCAGAATATCTTTTCAATCATTTTATCGAGGTGTCCTATGAAGATTTCATTTTTTAAAGCTATCAAGTATTAGTTCCACCTTTGGACTAGATAGCTACTAACACTGCCTGGGGTGTATGAACTCTGAACTGTGGCTTGACTCATAATCAAAGTTCTGTAGTGGAAAATGAGTAAATAAAGTCTTTATGCACTTCTGAAACAGGGCTAGTTAGAGCAAAGGCAACTGAGGAGAAATGTTGATTTATTCGGTGATAAATGTATGTGCTAAATAGTCATATGTGTAATAGCCTCTGGTCCTGAAGAGCATGCATGTATTCAGTCAGTTTGGGTCACTTGTGTAGATTGGGTGTTTTTGTATTTGGAGCTAATATTTATCTCCATTTTGTGGTTCCCATTTTTAAAGGACAATAGTACATATTAATTGCTAAGTAAAATCTAGTTGGAAAATGCTGACCTGACCAAGGTTTGCAAATGATAAAATGCTGACCTATTTTCCCAGTATGGTATATATTTTATCATAATTAGGTTAGGGGTGTTGATTTCTGTGGTTTTCTCTACCCTAAGGAAAAAAGAAACTAGTTTTGTGTCAAACAAAAAAGTCTAGCTAGTGTTTTAAATTTTTGTCTTTGGTGTTTAACTCTTAATTTTTTTTTAGTTTGTTTATTTATTTATTTATCCTGACCGAAGTTTTCATTATATCCTTTCCTCCTTCATTTCTCTTCAGAAAAGGGCAGGACTCCCATATTACCAAAACGTGGCATATCAAGCTACAGTAAGACTAAGCACCTCCCTTGTATTAAGGCTGGGCAAGGTGACCCAATATAAGGAATGGGGTTCCAAAAGCCAGGAAATGCGTAAAAGACAGCTCCTGCTCCCACTGCTAGGAGTGCCACAAGAAGATCGAACTACAATTGTCACATATATACAGAATGCCTGGTTCAGTCCTGTATGAGGTCCCTGGTTATTGGTTCAGACTCTAAACTCCTATGAGCCCAGCTTAGTTGATTCTGTGGGTTTTCTTGTGGTGTCCTTCACCCCTCTGGCTCCTACAATCCTTTCTGCCTCTCTCAAGCAAGATTCCCTGAGCTCAGCCTAATGTGTGACTGGGTCTCTGCGTCTGTTTCCATCCTTGATTGATGGAAACTCTGATGACAGTTGGGCACCAATCTCCGAGTATAGCAGAATATCGTTAGGCATCGTTACATTGACTTTTTTTTTTTCTCCAGTGTGTTTGGTTCTGTCCTAGGTCTCTGGACCATCCAGCTCTGGGTCCTGGTATTCCAGACAGTGTCAGTGGTGGGCTCACTCTCATGGCATGGGTCTGAGGATGGTACAGTCATTGGTTGGCCACCCACAATCTCTATTCCACTCTTAACCCCAGCACATCTCATAGGTAGGATAGCTTGTAGGTCGAAGGTTATGTGGCTGGGTTGGTGTCCAGTCCCTCTATTGGAAGTCTTGCCCAGGTCACAGGAAATTACCAGTTCAGGCTGTGTATCTCTGTTTCCTGGAGTCTTGGCTGCGGTCATCCTTATAGATTAACTCTTAATTTTAACGTGTTCTTGGAGTTAAGCTAGAGGAATTAATGTCAATAAAAATTTAGTTTAAATGTGAGCAATAAAAGTTTGAAACTCTAAGACAGTGTTACACAAAAAGAAGCCTCTTACTCAGCTAATACGCTGAACATTTTGTTTTGCTGATGCTAAAAATAAATCTGCAAGGAGCACAGTGATCCAATACTTAGGAAAATCCGGTAAGTTAAACATCCTTTCTGTTGATTAAATCTTGTTAGTAACCAATCATTAGAGGTAGAGTGCCTACTCTACTAATTTATTTCCCCGTGTTTTTTTTTTTAAGATTTTTGTGATATGTTTGATACAACTATTTCCAACTCTATATTTCTAATGTTTGGAGGTGGTTTCTTAAGATTTCTGATTTAAAAGTTCTATTAACATCTGTCCATGCTGCTTTCATTTACAATTCTAGAGCAAGCTCCCACTTCCAAACTTGGTGGATATAGCTTTAGCATTCAGGAATGACTCGAAATAAGAATGCCTGTGGACCCTTTCATTATTTCACTACTTAAGTACTTAATTTTACTTCAGAAAGATTATCGAGTAGCTTCTCATCTGGCTGCTTTAACTCAAGGAACCAACATAGTTGTTCCAAACTATTGGAAGCTCTGGTTAGTTATGGTTGGTGATTAGTCTGCAATGGAGAGTTACAATTGAAGAGTGTAAGAAGAGAATAATTTGGTAGTCTCTAATACTGTGTTTTAAAGTGAAGTGCACAATTGTAAGTGATCTAAGGTCAAAGAAGGGTTTCTGTGTCCCACAGCCTAAGGGTTACTGTTGTGTTTGATACTATGTTTCAGTAAATGCCACAGGCAGCCCTGTTTCAAGGGAATGTCATTTGATGCTTCTTTATGAAAAGGAAACATTTATATATGTGGTAGGCAGAATGGACCCCATGCAAAAACATTACCTGCACATACATACGAATATGTTTCTAATCACACGTGGCAACAGACTTTGCATCCAAGTTTTCATTATCTTGGGGGGAGAAAGATCAATAAGTTGCTTTTGACCCAGCATTTCCGATACT